GCAAACAACATTCCCTACAGACCATGAAGAACTACTCACTTTATCAGAGAGGTTAAGTTTCTGGTTAATATTTTATTTAAGCCACGCCATTCTAAAAGCAACAACCTGTCACCTTGTATTTTTTGAAGCTATGCAGGAGAGCTTATTTGTTTTCCTGTTTCCAAGGAAAGATTATTTTAGTAGTGCAGTGTTGTCAACTTTAGACCCAAGCTCAGCTTGAAACATATCTCATGATATTAAGAGACTGTGCCCAGAAGAGAAACAAACAAGTTATTCACAAGGAAAGTAACCAGATTTTTTTCTATCTACTGGTATTTATCCATCCTTCCATCCATTCATATAAATCATTATTTGTCCACTGTTTTAATATTTAAAAAGCAATTTAGGCTATATCCAGCACTGTTGCTATTCTTGAAGCAGCAGTTTTTGTAACCACTACCAGGGGGGCTACAGAGCCCAACTTGTTGTTATGTCCATTCAGGTTGATTCTTGAACATTAGCCTTGGGGTTTTCTTGGGGGGGGAATTATTCAGAGGCGTCAGAGAGCGTCAGAGAGCCCAAGGTCAGCCAATAGCTTTCTATGACTGGACAGGGTTTTGGACTCGTGTGTCAGAGTTCTATCAATCAAAACCACGACTGTAAACTAAAATTCTGCTGTGGACGACTGGAAAAGCCCTAAAGCACATTTGCAAGTGGCATGGGCAGTTGTTGTGGGAAAGAACTTGTAGTTATCCTTCTGTATCCATGGATTCTGTATCCATTTATTCAACCATCTACATTTTACTGCTTGGAAAATTACTGAAAAAAATCCAAAAACCAGGTCTTGAATTTGCCATTTTATATAAGTGACACCATTGCACCACACCAGTGGTTCTCAACCTATGGGTCCCCAGACGTTTTGGCCTTCAACTCCCAGAAATCCTAACAGCTGGTAAACTGGCTGGGATTTCTGGGAGTTGTAGGCCAAAACACCTGGGGACCCACAGGTTGAGAACCACTGGTTGTTGAGAAACATTGAACCACACCACTGTATATAGTGGGTTTGGTATCCATAAGTGGTCTTGGAACTAAATTCCAGGAGAAACCAAGGGATCACTTTATATTGTTTAGCTGCTTTTTCATCAGGATCTCAGGTACAACCATTTTTTATCATCTACTAGTATTTTTTTCTTTTTAGACTGGAGGTAACATTCAGAGGTATCTTCAATAAACTCTCCCTCCCACTTTTGATTATAGTAACATACTTGGAAACACAGTGACTGTTTATTAGAACCAGTATGTTTAATCAATTCTAACTAATGGATGCTCTATTTGGTAGCTTAGCTGGTGCAATTGTAATTTGCAGTATTCATCACTCCTACACTACTTATGCTTCTTAAAACTTGCAAATGCCCTTCGAACCAGAGAAAACTAACTGCACCACATAGACTGCCAAAAATGCCTCACCACCATCAAAATCAGAAGAAAATGAAGTTCACATCTGATTTAGAAAAATGTCTGTTTAAAAATAGGAACAGTGCAAACTATTTAAAAGGTGCAAAAATGTCCCCAGCTTCGCAGAAAGTTCCCAGAATTTCCTCACACCACTGAAAAACCCTAAGTAAATTACAGGCAGGGATTGGACATTATTACTCTAGGCACAGAAAACATTATTTTCTTCACAGAAAGGTTGGTTTCCGTTGACAAAACACTGCATTCATCACAACCTGCTTATGTTAGTACATGCACACAGAGACACACAATTTTGTAACTGTAAGAGCTTGATGATTACAGAAAAAGCAATGGAAGAAGACAGCCTATTCACTTTCATAAAGCAGCAGCTAACATAGTGAAGACTGGCAGTTTTAAGGCAGGCTCTCAGCGATGTTCCAGAAATTACCAGCTGTGCCCAGAGATGTCACCTTGCTTATAGCTCAAGAATAGATTTTTGTCATCTTTGCAGTCTCAAATAGTTTTTCAATTATATCTAACTAGCACCCATGTGATGTAATATAGACTAAATAAAAGCCATTGGTGGAAGATAAAACAGAAAGGGAAGACCCTTTCTTTACAGAGGACAATAGTATACATTTTTTTTAATTTAGGAAAATGGCCAGACTATAGATGGATTGATTCAATCAAGAAAGGCGGAACCTGATTTTGCAAGATGGGTTAATTGATGTCCAGGGAGATCTCTCAGACAGAATCACAATTAAAGCCTTAAAATCAATGTCAAATAATAACGATAATGCCTTTCCAATATCTAAAGTCTGGGTGAACAACCTGTTGAACTGCAACTCTCATCAGCTCCAGGTAGTGTAGCCAGAGGTGAAGAATAATGTCTGGGATACTTGCCCACTCCAAATCTGTAATCTAAATCTAATTTAAAATTCATGATTTAAAATGATTTTAGAAAACAAAGACTGATCAACATGTTTAAATCAAAAATTAAGAACTATAGATTTAATCATAACCATTATCATCGCAATCTTCAAACATTTACATCTTCTTCAAATCAAAATCCCTGATACTATTTTAAGGTTTGTCAAAGCCCTGAGAAAGTTTAGGGAGATGCAAAATTACTACATGTAGAAATTCTGTATCTGATTCTTTACAGAGGACAATAGTATAGACTTTTAAAATTAGTAATATAAGGCTGTGATTGCTTCCAAGTTTCAGTTCTATTCCCAAAGTGCAGTTCTTCCAGATCCCAAGTTTCGCAGTCCACATAGAGCAAAACATAAGCTTTTCACTCTCGTTTGGACCCTAGTCTTGAGTCTTCCATCACAATTATAATTTGAATTCTTGGTACTCTTTATATATTAATCTGAACTGCATTTTGATTGGGATCACAAACCAAAGATACACTACAGTGCTTAGCTGTAGTGAAATTGGATTTAATATTAAGATATGGATCAGTATCCTTCCTATGCAGTATTGGCAGATAGAGAAGGTTTTGATTTGTCACAGTTGCAACATATATCCCTGAAATTAACTACAGATACCCACAAATTATCGACAAAATTGTATTTCTTGACAACACTGAGGAGCGGAGAGTTTAATTTCTTGTATTTCAGGTTTTGTTCTAATAACTTCTCACCGTTAGCTTAAAGGGTTTTGCTTTTACCTATCTAACCTTGCCTCAGGTTTTGCATTGCTTTCCAAGTGGCCTGCTTTGGCCTAATTATTCTTAGTGCGTACCCTGAGAGGTTCTGACAACATGTAACAACCACTCTTTTTCTCATGTCTATACCTTTGACAAGTATTGGATATAATGTATGATTGTCTTCAAAGTTTTGGTAAATTCAAATGAGGCTGATACAGGGTGTAGCAGCATAACTTCCTTCTTTCAAAACTTAATAAAACCCATTGTATGAATCAGAATTTTTTTTATAATGTAAAGTTTTGTTTTTTGTAGTTTTGAAGATCAAATTAGGTAAGTGATGTCCCCCATTCTCCATACACTGAGTAAACCGATTTCTGCCGTTTGTCATGACTCTTGCCAGCATAGCAGGCGTTATGTTGGCAATTTCTTCCTGGATGTTGGTCTTCAAATATTGTAGGGTCCTTGGACAGTTCACATAAACACGGAATTTAAAAAAACCCCATACAAGATTTGAAGACCAACATCCAGGAAGAAATTGTCAACATAACTCCTGCTATGCTGGCAAGAGTCATGACAAACGCCAGAAATCGGTTTACTCAGTGTGTGGAGAATGGAGAATGGGGGACATCACCTACCTAATTTGATCTTCAAAACTACGTAAAACAAAACTTTAGGTATGCGCCTACATTATATAATTTTTTCCTTATGCATACAATGGGTTTTATTAAGTTTTGAAAAAAGGAAGTTATGCTGCTGCACCCTGTATTTTTACTATCCTACTATTTACCGATAGCTGCTTTTAAGCCTGACATCAGTCGATCAAATTATCTTGAATCAAGGGTAAAGCTGTATACAAGTATGCATAAATTCATCCATATATTTTTAAAACATGCATGGTGAACTTTGGCCCTCCAGGTGTTTTGGACTTCAATTCCCAGAAATCCAAACCAGCTTATTGAATGTTAAGAAGTGTGAGGGAGTTGAAGTCCAAAACACATGGAGGACCGAAGTTTTCCTATGCCTACTTTAAAAGATCGTTTTTATGAATATTTAAATGTCTACAGTGCCACACATGCTATTTCTAGGTCCCGAGTTAATGTTATTTGCACTTTTATTTTTTAATTATGTTAAACTCAAATGTACCATTATTTGAATAAATAAAATAACAAACCCACTTTGATGGTAGTAAAGATGTATCAGCTTGACTATATTCAGGATATTAACATGGAGAAGAGAGAGTAACTTTTGTCTCCTCTATGCAGTCAGGCTATGCTGCTTTAATTTCCCTTTTTAGAATAAATACAATGTTTCTGTAATGTAGTTGTTTTGGCTATTTTTTGTGTTTACACGTGAAAGAAGCACAAGGATAACTTCACTCAGGTGTCAAATGAGAAGAGAGTGGAGGGAAGCAGAGCTCAACACTATGTTTTTCCCCCTTTATTATAGTAGGATACTATTTAAAGACTTCAAGTTCTTTAAAATTGTGAGACAAATATGACAGAACATCTGAAGACAATTTCAGATTCCTTCTGTCTGCCTTAATGTTAGAATACTTCTGCAAAGTATAATTTGAGTCATTATACAGGCTAATGGTGAACACCATGCATGTTCACCATTATCCTGTATAATGACTCAAATTACATGTGATTTATTCATTAAACACCAATACCCATGGCAATTGCCTATCTCCAATATAATACATGGAATTAGTGTGTTTCTCATAGTCCCATTATGTTAAGAACTGTTCCAGGTATGTCTTACCTTCTTTGATTTAACCAGATTTTAAAAAGAGACAAGCAGAAAATGAAGAATAATTAAGATTCATAACAAGAAATCATTCTTTTGAAATAAGTATAGAGGACAGAAGGAAGACAAAAAGAAAAACAGACACACTACACAAGTAAGATCAAAATCGTTGTTTTTGCTAATAACTTTATTTCAAGTAGTACATAAGTTATGAAACTACAACGGTTTAACTTGTCCTACAAACATCAGTGCTTGTATTTCAAATATCTGAAAACTGCATTCACTACCAAATCCAAACATCATCATGATGTCTCATGAATGCCCTCTATTACTGATCCAATTGCTGAGTTTGCATGAACACAGCCAGGTTCTAAGACGCCCAATAATGAATACGAAGTAGGAAGGTCTCAATGGTCTGAGGGCCTTTATTTTCAGCTCTAAGAAATTCATCAGTATTGTCAGGAAGAGGGTTTCAAGTACTAAGAAAAGAAGTAGCTTCATAATAGCTACAATATAGACAGTATCATCATAACTAGAAAAGCTAGTTTTAAAACGCAGTTGGCTTTGTCCTGTAATGAATAGTTTATGATAGTTCCAATTTTGAAAAAAACAAACAAACCCCTTTTAAAGTCATTATCAATAAAATAAAATGTCACAGTGATGTGTTCTTTTAGCTACTATTAAGTATCTACACATTCACACTAGATTCCATTTTTGGTAAGCCATAAAGATGTTAAGATTGTGATTTATATGTAAGATAGAAGATCAGTAATATTAAGAACATATTAAACTAATGAACATGCACTACCTTATAGGTGGGCCTGATTTTCATTGGCTTTCTTAAGAAGAGATTTTTGACTTGGGTATTAATGCTGTATGAGGTCTTTTATTTCCAATAAGTACTGCTTATGTTTTTATGCTCTCTTCCCAAAGCTTGCAATTGGACATTATTAATACTTCTAAATAAACTAACAACTTTACTCATACGGTGCTTATTTTAAAAAGTCAGTAATTTTAACAAAATACCATAGCACTTTCACACTGAGCAAATCCTTCCCTATCAGTTGAACCTTGTCCAGCAACCCCATGAGCAACTGTTGAACAACCTCTCCCTGAATCAGAGACATAATTCTGAATTGGAGAAGATACAGATGGCAGGGGGTGTACCAATGATTTGTTCATGCTACTTCTACCACCATGTTGGGTAAGGAATGTTCAGCAGTTTCAACACAGTGCCATCTAAGGTCACAACCTCTCTCATTTTACTAATGCACGGCAATTGCATTTTCCAGCTTCCTGCTGTATCAAAGCAATAGCAGCAGGTGGGGGCACCCTCAGCCTGAAGAAAATCTGACATTTTTCCAAAAATGACATTTTGGAATCTTATTGAGTTGTCCTTCAGACTGGTATTTAGTCATTCGGTTGGGTCTGCAAGTTAAATGCTTGAAGCAGAGTCTGTCCAAAGTGAGTTCTTACTTAAAATATAGAGATCTGTTATGCCAGTTCCTATTACTACAAAAACCACGCAATTTTATAAACAAGTAGACATTGTCAAAGTTCCAAAGCCCAAGAGCTGTTTTTCGAAGGCACGCTGGGTTATCCTTAATTCTATCCATTTATTATTTTCATGTGAAGTGACAAGCTTTAAACATTTTGGACATTTTCCCGACTGCTGTACTTGACACAACTGGGTATATTATCCACTTTTACTAGATGCAGAGAGCACTGGGGCAATGCCACATAGATACACTTCATCTTCATTAAGCACAAAACATACTATTTCTGAAAAGTTGTTCAGTGAGAGTCACTCTACCCTTTATGAAATGTGGTAGGATTTTGAACCGTACCACTTTAGAGTACAGGTATTTTCTCACTTTAAATTCTCTCTCATCTATAGGAAATTTAGCATCATAGTGTGAGATAAAGCTGGGTTTAACACAGGGCTCTCCTAGATATCAGTCAGGGATTATTTGGGTAGGTGAATATACAGAGATGTAAGACCTCAACCTGAAATTTGAAATGCAAAATGGAACCACCCAATTCTATGTCATATTTGAAAGTGGTTCCAAGTACCAGTATGTGTGTGAAAAAAGTAGAGATAGAGCAAATCTGCTATGTTAAATGTTTAGGGAAATTTGTCTTACATACAGCACATTTAATCTTTATTATCTATCTACTATCTTCTTTTCAAGAGTCATCAGCCACTAGGCAAATATAATCTAATTTGTATAGCATTCCAGTACTGTGGAAGCCGGCTGTGGGGGAGGGGGAGATAAATACATTTCACAGAAAATATTTATCAAGCCTCATGAAAAAATTAGGAACAAACACAAAAAGGAGTCATTTTGAAATACAGGACATTATGCAGTCACTTAAACAGCATCCAAAACATCAGTATGAAAAATTAAACATCACGTAAAAAGGGATAAGTCACAGTGTTGTATTGAAAACTATAATTTCAATTTGTAGCACCATTAAGAAAAGTAAAGCCAGGCACCAAGATATTTCATAGTTGTAACATAATGTACAATCAGGTGTAAAGTTTATTCAAAAGGCACAGATGAAAAAAAGAAAAAAAAAGGTAGAACTTATATCCAACAGCATCAGATACCTAGAACATCTCAATAAGTGAAAACTATTTCCACAGTTAATATTGAATATATTATCTACATTAGCAGTATGGGTCTATACACTCTACATAACTGACCTGATCTGAAATTAAGCACTATTCTAACATGTGAAAATATTGGATTGGGCAATTTAAGAAAATCAAACGTATTTACAGTCAACACTTTCATACTTATACACTCGCAGCTAACTCAAGTGTCTTCAAAGTATAGGAATGAGCAGTGCAGCTTTACTAATATGGGAGGAAATTTTACAAACTAATTTTTAATTACAATGGAGGTATAAATATCTACAACTGATATTCTACTTTTGTGAAATGGGGAAACAATGAGACACTTTCATACAAATTAATTGTAAACAACTTCCTAGAAGTTTGATTATTTATAAAATGAACAGGTTAGATCAGGCATCCTCAAACTGCAGCCCTCCAGCTGTTTGGGCCTCCAACTCCCAGAAGCCCTTGGCAACTTCTTCAATGGTCAGGAATTCCAGGAGTTGGAGGCAGAAACATCTGGAGGGCAGTAGTTTGAGGGTACCTGGGTTAGATGATAATCTTAAATTCAGTTGACATTTCATTTTATAATATTCCAGATATCATTCTCTCATATATATATATATGTGTGTGTGTGTGTGTGTGTGTGTGTGTGTGTGTGTATACACATACATAAACTATGTAAGAATACAAATGGGAAGAACTAATTATTTTAAAAAGTCTTCAAGAAGCTTTGAAGGGAGCCACTGAGGATACAGCTCCATTCAGGAAGCGGTGGATTTCCCCCTACCTCACTTTCTCACTCAACCAAAAATGGCACAACATTAAAATATTAAACATTCCTTCCAGCGAATAGTGCTAATATTTTATCAATCAATGCCCAATCCAGACTATCTATATACATGGATGCCAAATTAACTCAAGATATCTGAAAGGCAGAAATTTCAAAGTGATCAAAATTGTTTATAAAATGCTAGGAGCAAAATCTAATGTCAATCACATTTCAGGTTTGAGACACAGAAGTGAATGAGACTGAATACCGCAACCAAGTTGATTCCAATCAGTCTGTCTAGGCAGGACTGATGTTGGATTTAATCCCAAATGTTAATTTAGGAAAGTGATTTTAAGTTTTCTTCCTCTGTTTATTTCTTTTCTTTTGGTCAGATGGACAATTAAAATATCTATATTCTGTTTTTCTTTGTGCACACAACATTATCTACTGAAACAGAAATGTTATGCTCCCAGAAAAAGCACAAGTAAATTGTTGCATGGTTATGTTAAACTATAGTTGTCATATAAGAGGGAGACCACTGGTAGAAAATTATCAAACAATTAAGTCCAAATACAACTGTGCTTAATCAGCATGCTTAACTATAACTGATAATTTATTTAAAAATTCAGATGTTGAGGAAAATTAATCCAGAATCTCTATGACAAGAATTCCATGTTTTCAGACTCTTTACACAAAACATTTCTTCTACTGTAACAGGCATTAAATATACTTCATTCATTCTAAAAACGTAATGACAAACACTTCATATCATACTTTAGTATCACCTAATATTTAAAACAAAACAAAACAAATCTACAGGTTTATTCAACCCATGGAATTTAAATATTGCCACTGTTTTATGTTTTGTCAACAATGACAATTCTTTCTTTCAAAAGCTTCAGTTTTTAGTGTACGTAGTCAAAAATTAATACAAAGGTGGTGAACCAAGCTTACTTCTTTATGCTCAAAATCAATTCCATGTATACATAAAAGTGTAGAAAGGGAACAATGCTGTACTAAACTGCCGAGGTATAAATTACTGCCACACTATACTATGGAACCATCTTTGCTTTGTGCTGGAATCATCACAGGAATAGCTCCCATTCTACTTAGATTAGGTGCTGCTACCTTTGGAGGGTCATAATTTGGATTTTGAGGAGCAGGACGTTCAAAGTCTTCACTCGGCACCTTGTTGTACTGAGTCTTGGCATATCCATCCATATTAGAAGGAGACATTGAACCCAAAGATGATCGATTACTCCCTATATAGCTACGGGCAGTTGAAGCACGACTCTTTGGAGGGGGAACATCCTCTCTGTAAAGACAAGCATATTGAAGAATTTACAAAAAGAGCCTTAGAAACCTTAGAAACATCCTACAACTAATCTTCCAGTGCTTCTGATACATCTCTGTATATTAGTTGTTGGAGGCATAAGGGAGAGGGTACTGTTGCACTTATGTCATATTTGTCAACTTCCTGTAGACTGCTATGAGAAAAAGCATGTTGAAGTATATAAGATTTTTAGCTGATTCAACATAATTGGTTTCTTCATAGGAATTAGGAATTGCTAGACAACGTTACTGGATACATTTTTAACAAGATGACACTGATGATTAGATGTTTTAATGATTTTATATATGTTTTTATATTGTTATGTTGATGGTTTTTAATTGTACTTTTATGTGTGGCATCGAATTGAGCTAACCTGTAACCTGCCTTGAGTCGCTGTAAGGCTGAGAAAGGCAGGCTATAAATATCGTAAATAAATAAATAATTTTAACAACATATGTTCCTGAACAATGTACTTGGAAATCTTCATCAGAAGCACTATGTATTACTATAACTGCCATGTTTATGCCAGCCTTAATCTACTACCAATAAGAATAAGCTATATATCCTCACATGTTAAAAGGGAGATCTTACTGAAAAGGGAGAGTAGTTAAGTCTTCTCTCTACCCTATTTAAAAGGAAAGCCCTGGAATGAGGGTGCAAGGATAAACTGCTTTCACAAGGAGATGACGAAAGAGTGACAAAGAAGCAAGCTAGCATTGTTCCAGTTCATTTGCTTATCTGCTTTGTAAGGCAGACTCTGTCAGTTTCCTATTGGTGACGTACACAACTCTCACTGATCTATGTATGCACACTCTTGGGACTTTCAAAAAGAAGCACGCAGAAGGAGGTATCTTTCTATAAAATACCTGCCAATTCTTGTCATTATAATTCCAAGTGTCTCACATTCCACAGAATATGTACTTGACTTGCTGCATACAATGTTTATACAACTTAAAAACAACACTCAGCTTTTAATTTGGGAAGTGAAAAATAAAATTACATACCTGATATCATGGTGTACCTCTTTTTCATACTTCTTTTCTCTTTGTTTCTTGAAACAACAGAAGATGATTAACGCAACTAATACAATGGCTAGAAGTGATCCTATAATAGCTCCAGCAATTCTACCACCTCTGTTCACAGCTAAAACAAAGAACACAAGTTATACGAGATGGGAGATTTGACTTAGATCTTTAAAACAGAGTAAAGTAATGATTAACTACATATATTATTTCACTCTAACAAGTCATACTTACGGGGAGTGACATTCAGTATAATAGAACACTCATCTGATCCAACTCTATTTGAAGCTACACATTTGTATGTGCCAGAGTGGAGGTGAGAAGCATTTTTCATCAAAAGAATGCCTGTATCTGGATCTGAAAATACAACCTTCTGTTAGAATTTTTCAAAACAAGCCAACCAGATTGGGAAGGGAAGATTATGATAGTGGCAAAAGTGTCAAAATTGTGGCTAAACAGCAATCCAGGGTTCAATTCTGTCCCCGATGTTATTTAACATCTACATGAAGCTGCTGGGGGAGATCATCCGGAGTTTCAGAATGAGATGTTATCTCTATGCAGATGATGTCCAAATCTGTCACTCCTTTCCACCTGTCACCAAGGAGGCTGTCCAGACCTTGAACCGGTGCTTGGCTGCTGTGTCGGTCTGGATGAGAGCTAACAAACTGAAATTGAATCCACACAAGACAGAGGTCCTACTGGTCAGTCGTAAGGCCGAATAGGGTATAGGGTTACAGTCTGTGTTAGACGGGGTTACACTCCCCCTGAAGACACAGGTTCGCAGCTTGGGAGTGATCCTGGACCCATCGCTGAGCCTGGAGCCCCAGGTCTCGGCGGTGGCCAGGAGAGCTTTTGCACAATTAAAACTTGTGTGCCAGCTGCGCCCATACCTTGGGAAGTCGGATCTGGCCACGGTGGTCCACGCTCTTGTCACATCCTGATTACTGCAACGCACTCTACGTGAGGTTGCCTTTGAAGACTGCTCGGAAACTCCAACTAGTCCAGCGGGAGGCAGCCAGATTGCTCACCGGAGCGGCATACAGGGAGCACACCACCCCCCTGTTGTGTCAGCTCCACTGGCTGCCGATCCAGTTCCGAGCACAATTCAAAGTGCTGGTTTTGACCTACAAAACCCTATACGGTTCCGGCCCAGTGTATCTGTCCGAACGGATCTCCCTCTGTCCCACCTCGGAGTCTAAGATCTTCTGGGGAGGCCCTGCTCTCGACCCCGCCTCTATCACAAGTGAGGCTGGCGGGGACGAGGAGCAGGGCCTTCTCGGTAGTGGCCCCTCACCTGTGGAACTCACTCCCCAGGGAGATTAGATCAGCGACTTCCCTTTTTTCATTCAGAAAAAAATTGAAGACCTGGATGTGGGACCAGGCTTTTGGACATTCTGGCAGCTAAAGGAAAGACCTTGATGATGGGCAGGAATTGACGGAACGGAATGGATTTATGGAACTGTTGAATTACTTTTATGTATGTATGTATTTTTGACATAGGCATCGAATTGTGCCTTCCTTTGTAAGCCGCCCTGAGTCCCCTCTTGGGGGCGAGAAGGGCGGGGTATAAGTAACTGAAATAAATAAATAAATCCTGAACACAGCTAGGCAGGCCCGTAGCCAGGATTTTGATTCGGGGGGGGGGGCTGAGTTTGATGGGGGGGGGCTGAGTCTGAGTGAAAGAGGGTCTACCCTAGCAAACCTTTTGTATCGTTACCCCAATACCCCCATGCATATGGGATATATTGAGCATGGTGATCAAATCATGATATGAATAAACATAACAGTTTAAATAATGTACCAGTAAGGCCTTCTCGTGGACCACCATGAGAATTTGGGGGGGGGGCTGAAGCCCCCCTAAGCCCTCCCCCCTTCATCCAGTTTAGAATTTATTTATTATTATTTATTTACTTCACTTGTATACCGCTCTTCTCAGCCCTCAGGCGACTCAGAGCGGTTAACAACTAATTCAACAGTACAAAACAGATCATTAATCAATTAAAACAGCAATATCAATTAATTCACATCAAAACATCAATCCAACAATACAACAAAATAACAATCCATCACGTCTCATCAATAGAATCAGCATCCACTCTCATTGTCCATTAATCCATATTCCAATAATCAATCAATTGCACTGCTTAGTTGAAAGCCTGTTCGAAGAGCCAGGTCTTCACTCTCTTCCGGAATGCCAGATAGGAGAGGGCCGATCTGATGTCTGTAGGAAGGGCGTTCCACAGCCGAGGGGCCACTACCGAGAAGGCCCTGTCTCTCGTCCCCGCCAGGCGTGCTTGTGAGGCTGGCGGGACTGAGAGCAGGGCCTCCCCAGATGATCTTAACATCCTAACTGGTTCATAGGAGGAAATGCGTTCGTACAGATAGGTCAGGCCAGAACCATTTAGGGCATTAAAGGCTAAAGCCAGCACTTTGAATTGTGCCCGGTAGCAAATTGGCAGCCAGTGGAGCTGGCGCAACAGAGGAGTTGTATGCTCCCTGAGTGCTGCTCCTATTAGCAACCTGGCTACCGATCGTTGGACCATTTGAAGCTTCCGAGCAGTCTTCAGAGGCAACCCCACGTAGCGAGAGTTGCAGTAGTCTATACGGGATGTAACTAGAGCATGGACTACCGTGGCCAAGTCAGACTTCCCAAGGTATGAGCGCAGCTGGCGCACAAGTTTTAGCTGTGCGAATGCTCCCCTGGTCACCGCTGAAACCTGGGGTTCCAGGCTCAGCGATGAGTCCAAGATCACACCCAAACTGCGAACCTGCGTCTTCAGGGGAAGTGTAACCCCGTCCAACACAGGCTGCAACCCCATGCCCTGTTCGGCCTTGCGACTGACCAGGAGTACCTCTGTCTTGTCTGGATTCAATTTCAATTTGTTCGCCCTCATCCAGACCGTTACAGCAGCCAAGCACCAGTTCAGGAACTGAACAGCCTCCTTAGAAGTAGGTGGAAAGGAGTAACAGAGTTGGACATCATCCGCGTACAAATGACATCGTACCCCGAAACTCCAGATCATCTCTCCCAGTGGCTTTATGTAGATGTTAAACAACAAGGGAGGCAATATTGAACCCTGAGGAACCCCACAATGTATTCTTACATACTCATAACATAATTCTTACATAATCATAACAGCTTAATAATTACTCATAACAGCTTAATAAGGTTGAGCATCCCTTAGCCAGAATTCCAAAATCAGAAATGCTCTCAAAATTCCAAGCTATCCACTGGGATGGCTGAGAGTGTGACACCTTCGCTTCCTGATGGCTCATTATACACAAATTTTGTTTCATGCACAAAATTACTTAAAATATTGCATACTATTACTTTCAGGTTCTACATATAAGGTGTGTGTGAAATTTCATTTTTCATTATGTGCCTATATGTAAATCTAGGTATTTTAAAATAAATTTAAAAAAACCCTGCAAAGCCCAGTATTGGTCCCAAGCATTTCAGATGAGGGATATTCAACCTATATTGCAACACTATTGCTACAATCCTAATTCCCCTTCCCAACCCACATTACTGGGCTTTAAATACTGGAGAATGGGTGACTGACCTGTCTATCCATTAGAGGGTTTGGACAGGAGAGGTTATTTATTACATATACTGAATTAATATCTGATGTAGAATACTGGACAACATATTTTGTTACTGAAGATTTGACTTTTTTTTTACTGTGTATACAATAAAGATACAACAAACTTGATAAAGTGATGGAAGAGTAGAATAGAAAAACTGAACTTTTAATTATTTTTTGTGACAGCAGCAAAAGAAATCTGGGAACAAATTCAGTCTTCCCATTTCTTAGAAAACAAGTTTGGAGCACTCTAAATCAAGATATTGCATACATATTTGTTGCTGCTTTTTGTAGTAACATCTTGATATATCTGAATTATGTCCCCCAAAAAGTCTGAAACTCACATCCACACACTCACTTCATCTCTTTAACATGAGATCAGCTTAACTTGGGGATCTGGGATACTCCGACTTGTTAGTTTTTGCATTTTGAAGTTTTGCTTCAATTTATTTTAGTACTTGAAGGTAGGAAGATATATACCATTTATGCCCTTATCTAAGCCAAAGACAGAAAGGTGCAACATACTCTGTGATGATGTGGCTGGAAGTTCTGCACCAGTAGTTCTTGTATCAGTAGTTTTTGTCCAGTAGTAGTTTATGACAGGAGTGCCTTCTTGGGATTTACATTTCAAAGTAACATCTGTTCCAATCTCCTGGGATCCTTCAATATAGCATCTAGTCTTTGTGGGCTTTTCTAACAAATGAAAATTGATCTATGAATGAAAAGTCTTCAGCACAATCTTATTTACCAATATATAAACATATATATCCACATTAGAAACTGTGGTGTAGTTCATAAGCCCCTTTGTCTAATATTTATTGTTCTTAAAAGTAGTTATTTTCACCTGTAAAAATGTGAAATCAACTTTAAGGCCTATGTTTAGGATAATAAATGTCACATCTGGCTTCCCACAAAATATTCTTCACAGCTTTGATTAGCAATACAACTGTCATAATAATTATTATGTTTAGTTTGAACTCCAGCTTACAAGCAACCATATTCATAACAACTCAGATAACGGAACGACAATATCTTCCAACAATACAATTCATCTTTATGAAAGTACGGATATTATATTGAAAAGCTTCATAGTATATCCAACATGTATGATAATTCCAGCACCATCTGTTCCCAGTAAGAAAGGTATTAGCACATTCCCCACCTCACCCCCTGGGGTTAGAAAAGCGGTATACAAATGAAATAAATAAATAGCACAAGATTACTAAAAATTATATGTGCCTATCCGTGTATACATTATTCTGAGAGAATAACACAGTAAAATGAACAAATAGGAATACAAGAATATGTGTTTGCATTGTATTTTTACTAGAATAACTGTGAATATTTTCATTCACTTATCAAAAGCCAAATATCTCTTCTGGGGGATGTTAAGCTTTATCTCATTCATGTTTGGAGTCTCCCTGCATGCTCCTAAGAGGCAAAGGTTTTGTAAAAGCTTTCAAAAAACCTTTTGCCTTAAAGTGACCCAAATGGTATCATGTACCCTACATCTTGGGGTGAAACAATGTTAGTTGTATATCTGTGCGTAAGATAGGGATGGGTACAGTTGGAGAATGAAGCCCTCTTAGGTCTTCTGGGGGAGGAGAGGGGCTTATGCATTAACCACAGCATGCATGAGTTAAGTTATAATTAAGCAACCTCCAGCAACCAGTAGGTGTGGTATGATGATCCTTTAACACATGTTCATACACACACACACACACTTCCTCAGCCAATATCCTAAATAAGGTTGCTAAATCAGCCTCTACCACTGAGTCAATAATCCTGCTATACCTCCAATCTGACTGATTAATGAGGGTTTAGCTGTGCCATGTCCAAACTCCTTTCCCATATGACTTTTTCTGTTGCTCTCCTTAGCAGGATTTACTTTCTCTCTAACTGTATTCAATGTTCACATTTGCTCTCAGCAGCTCTCCCAACTATGAACAACATTACTTTTTACAAGACATTTCAGGAGCAGTGTTTCATTTCTCAGAAGGGAAAAAAGTCAAGTGGGAGCCTTCCCATCTACCTAGCAATCCCTTCTTTCATGATGACCAATGTCTGTATAGACACACTGAATCGCTGGGTTAAGACTGTACTTTTTCAATGGAACAAGATAGCTTAGTTATATTTAGAAACATCTTTTTAGTATCTGCTCACTATTTTTTTTTGTTATCTATTGATTTCACTATAATATGTTGATCTCTACATCTCTGCACAAATTTGCTTCACCTGTTGAACACTTGCTTATAACCCAAATTTATCAAAATGGTGGATGCCTGGGACATATTCAGTCTCTTAATAACTATTACAAACTTCACCAAGAAGGATACCACAACATGCTCAAACAGGCTTCGTGCTAGGGTCCCTTCTACACTGCCATATAAAATCCAGATTATTTGCTTTGAACTGGATTATATGGCAGTGTAGATTTATATAATCCAGTTCAAAGCAGATAATGTGGATTATCTGCTTTGATAATCTGGATTGTATGACAGTGTAGAAGGGGCCTATGAAGTACAAGTGTACCTTTACTAATAAACCCACACGAAGCGACAACACACAATGACATGGGCAGAACCAGATGGCTGCAAAGGGTAAAATGTATATTTGTCAGGGTTCTTCATCCAGATTTCAGAGGAAAAATCTATTTATTTAAATCAGTGGTTCCCAACCTGTGGTCTGTGGACTACCAGTGGTCTGCAAGAACAAACATATAGTCTGCGGCCTCACCATTACCTCGAAACCACGCAGTAACAAAAGTGACTGGTCTTGCGAAACCCTCTTATAGTGTCAAGGTAATGGGGATGTTGGGAGGGGAGAGGCTGACTACCCACAAAAGGTTACTACTACCACTTCAGCTCTAGATTATTAAATATGGTTTTCTGTGGGCAAGCAGATGATGACTACTGGGTGGCATATGTTCTGTATAAGAAACTACAGCTGATGTGATCTATTCAATGCAATTTTCTGAATCAGCACCCCAAATAACCAAACCGAATCTAAAGTTCACTAAAAACTGATTTGTAACCCTTTTGGTACTAATGCTGGAGAGTGGTCCCTGGTAAAAAAATGTTGGGAACCACTTATTTAAATAGCGCATGCTGTAAGAAATTATTCTAAAAAGGTAGTATCTTCCATTTTTTTCTGAACATGACATAAAATAGTCATAATATTCCAAGAAATATATCCACCACTGCTCATTATTCACCAATTAAATATTATTTGTTGCAACCAAATATAGAAATAACCGTATATGCACCCACACTGATAAGAGTACTATTCACAAAGGTAAAACAGGAAATACCTTACCAAGTACCGTTAGCTGAACTCTATGAGTTTGAACACCAGGAGGTTTTTTCACTTTACACTGGTATGTGCCAGTATCTGCTGGTTTTAAATTCAGGATATCAATGCTAGCATCTCCAGAGGCTGGGTTCTGACTGACAAACTGTACTCGTCCAGTCATTTGATACTGATCGTAAACCCTGTCCATAGTGTACATGATTACCTAAAAGGCAAAAGAATAAAAAGCCAGTATGTATTATCTCAGCTAGGTAAATTCTATTTAATAACATTTCTATTATTGCTATAGTAAATAACATAATTGTCTTAAAACTTTTTCAGTTCAATGTTAAGAGATGCTAACTGTTTTAATTCACATTTCTGTGAATTAATATGAAAAACTAAGATTTTCAAAGATTTTACTTACTGGTTGCTCCTCATTTGGTTGTAATATAACCCATTCGATATCAAGTGAGCCTTCATCTGCTGCTGCAAGAGCATAAGTGCACAATAGTGTAACTTTCTCTCCTTGGGCCGTTGTTACCATGGTCTGATCTGTTGAAGTTATTGTTACACCACTGGCTAGATCTGAAAAAATTGAAAACAAAATAAATGGCATAATAATTAAGACACAAAATATTACAGCCGTTTCTTTGCCAAAGTTCTTTCAAAGACAAAGATTGAGAAGCTCTGGCAACTGAAATTGAGGAGAGAATATCATGGCAATGCTTATTTCCGTATCTCATGGAAATATTGGTTTTTGATATGTTCGGAAATGATAATCTTGAAAGCTAGAAGTCTTAGACAAGAGATATCTGTTCAGTAACTACATAATTATCTCAATGGTCAGTTTGTTTCATCTGAATTTTACTTGTGCCAATCCAGAAAGCTGAACCTCATTATTACACCACTACTTGCAGACTGTAACATGAATGTAAGAAGACTGCATCATCATCCCAAAATGAATAACCATACTTGCATTAAATTCAAAATACATTATTCAGCAAAAGATTATGAGAGAATATGCCTGGCTATTTTTAAAAGTTTATTAGTACACAAGATTGTCACAGAAAAGCTGTTTGGACAGCCTAGTCTGTTGCAACCTTCATAAAGGATGCAACGGTATCTGCAGTTTTGGGACTGTACTTTGTCTGATCACAAACAAGATAATCTTCTTTTATACAAAAAGGATAACATTGGATTTCCTCTGACAAAGGTGAATACAACTTAAGGGAAGAGTACTTAATCTTTAACTCAGCAAATTTAGACTAAAGTAGGCTTCATATAATACAATGTTAACTTCACCCTTCCCCCTGGAACTTCTCCTCAGGAATTTGGTGTCAGTTAAGTACAGAAGATTTTGGCTTGCTCACCTCCTTGGCATCATTTGTGCAGTTGACCAGGTTGCACTGCTTCTAGTGACAAAGCACAAGGTTTCTCCCTTTCCTGCCTCTTGGTTAGCTTTAGTCAAGTGGAGAAGGACCCCTAACTTCCTCAGCATGCTGTTCGAACAGAATCAGCACCTCAGTTCCCAAGGACATCAGGCATGCCCCAACTCTGGCAGTCTTTAGGAGGAGCCTGAAAACGTGGTTGTTCCAGTGTGCCTTCCCAGAATAAGGAATTTCTCAGCAATATGTCCTCACAATGCACTTTATTACTGATCCAGGATTGTCTGCATGCCCCACCCCGCTGAAACTTTGTCCCATTTATATCTTACCTGTTTCATACCCAGAATTATTTTTAAATTGTAATTATTAAATTTGGCCCAGCCATAGTTTTTAAACATTCTTGTGTTAATGTTTATTGCTTTTTTGTTTATGACATTTATTTTAACTTTTATATTGCTTGTTTGTTATTGCTTTTTAATTGATGTGCTGTGGGCTCGGCCTCATGTAAGCCGTACCGAGTCCCTTGGGGAGATTGTAGCGGGGTATAAATAAAGTATTATTATGATTATGATTATTATTTTTCCATCACCACCACCGTCTTCTTTTTTTCCCCTCCAAGCCCATCTCCCTTGCTTAATTCTCCTTTGTCCTTTCAAACTTCCCACCGTCTCACTGTTCCTCTCAATCTCACCCTCCTCAACCTTAAAATTCCTTCTCCCACTCAGTGGTCAGGGTCAGATGTGGCATCCCTGGTTTCTTCTTTCTCTGGTCTGCAGCAGTTCTCCTGACACAACTACCCCACTATGGCTACAGACAAAACAAATTATCTCACATTCACATCACAAATTATCTCACACCCACATTATCATATTGTGTGTGCTTTTATACTGCTTCTAACATAGCTCCCATATATTGTGCTTTCCAGTACATGAAGAATTCAGAAGAACAATACAATTGTAAATACATTATGAGGACATTCTGGGCATCTATTAATCATCATTAAGTGTTCTCTCCTTTCCCAGTCACAATGTTGTCATTTAATGTTCCTCCTTTGCCCCCCTCACAATGTGTTGCAGAAAACCAACTTAAATCACAAGGAAAACCAAGTTCTAAATGATTGATACAACACCTACATCACCACGGATATACCATATAGACAAGTAATTCAAACAATAATTTAACTGAAACAGTAACTGTCTGAAAACATTATAGGATCTTCATCAGTCAACTTTAGCATAAAAAGATATCAAGAAAACCAGTAACACCATTGAGACTAACTGGAAAGAAGGAGTATCTATCATAAGCTCCTGTGGACAGTTTTACCTCATCAGGTGCAGAGTTTCAGAGTGTCCAGGTCTCCTTTGTCTCCTCCCCCTTCACCCCCAAAAACCCCACATATACAGTAGGATCTAGCAAGGCAATCTTTCCTTGTTTTCCCAAGAAAGCTTTATAGTGCCTTGGTCACCTCTAGATTGGACTACTGTAATGCACTCTACGTGGGGCTGCCCTTGAAAACGGCTCGGAAATTCCAACTGGTCCAACGGGCAGCAGCCAGGATGTTAACTGGTGCTCCTTACAGAGAGAGGTCAACCCTCCTGTTCAAGGAACTCCACTGGCTGCCGTTTATTTTCTGAGCCCAATTTAAGGTGCAGGTGCTTACCTACAAAGCCCTAAATGGTTTGGGACCATCCTACCTGCGTGACCGCATCTCCGTTTATGAACCCACATGCTCACTTTGTTCATCCGGAGAGGCCCTGCTCGCAATTCCGCCTGCGTCGCAGGCGCGTCTGGTGGGGACACGAGACAGGGCCTTTTCTGTGGTGGCCCCCCGACTCTGGAACACCCTCCCCAAAGATCTTAGACAGGCCCCTAAATTGGCAGTCTTTAGAAAAAACTTGAAGACCTGGCTGTTCCGATGTGCCTTTCCAGAATAGGAAAACTCCAACAACAAGTCCCAGAAGCACTTTATTAGAAATTAAGATTGTTGGCACACTGCACTTACCCTGTAATCCCTATATACCACCTGTCACATCAGCACTTTTAATCTGTACCCATTACTCTGGCCCGGCCCAGTTTTATTGTGTCCTGGTGTATCGTTTTATTGCTTGTTGGTTAATATTGCTTTAACTGTTTTTAATTTGCTTTAGGTTGTGTATTGTTATGTTGTGTTTTGAGGCCTTGGCCTTTGTAAGCCGCATCGAGTCCTTCGGGAGATGCTAGCGGGGTACAAATAAAGTTAATAATATAATAGTCCTTAAGGTAATTGTAATAAAAATCTGACAGATTACTTTTCAACAAAACACATTACACCACAAAAGCCATTCCTCAGCTCTGGCCATAAAACTGCTTTCTCCCAAAACATAGCTTTCTAGGTATTTCCAACAATTTTGCAATTCTGACAACTACTCAGAGCTGATGGGAGTTGAAGTCCAAAACATCTGGAAGGCAGAAGGCTGGGGAAGTCCAGTACGTATACAGTATAAAGCTAAACCATAGCAAGTACTTTTAAACAAAACGCATTTAATTTCCAAGTAGTGTATGGGTTAACGCTTTCCTAAAATTTAATTACGTTTTCAGACTTAATGCTTTTGGCAGCCTTTTCTGCCTCACCTCCTGAAACATCAGTATTATTTTCATTTGCATTCTATGCTCAAAAGGATAATAGATTTCTGACACAATATTTAGGTAAGACAATTACTAGAAAACATTTGTACAATGGTTAAAACAACTGTTTCAACCAAACACAAATATCTTTTTATAGAATTTGAAATCCTAAATATGGTCCATAGTCCTATGGACATAGAAAGCCAGCGCTCTGCAAACATCTAGTGTGTGCAGGGAACGTTTCAAAGATAAGAATGGATTCTGGAAAAAAAAAAAGGGCAGGCAGTATTATGTCCTGCAACATGTGGAACTTAGAAGCAATTTTCAGGAGAAAAGCAGTATCGTCTGGAGGACCTCCTTCTCCTTCTGAAAGCCAGTGTAAGGTTCATCCACTCTTAATGCACAGAATTAACTCACTCTCTGGGACGAAGTAAAGGCTACAAGAAAAGCAGTCTTCCAAGGCAGGTGAGAAAGGTGAGACGACACCAACGGCTCAAACAGGGGTTAGGTGAGGCCTGACAAGGCAATCTCAAGGTTCCATACAGGAACTGGTGGAGTAAAAGGGGGACAGGGATTCTTATATCCCTGCAAAAACAATTTTATACATAGATCAGTAAAGCAGGTTGATAGGCCCAATTTCCTTCTATCGGTAGAGATATCTGCTAGGTAACACATTAGATAACACATTAGAGATGACAGTGATAGTCCAGTATCCGTGAGGGACATCAGGAAGTGACGGGCAACAGACAATGGTGCTGTAAGAAGGTCAACCCCCTTGTGTTGTAGAAAAGCGCAAAAGTGATTCATTCCACTTAGTGCAATATGATCGCTTGGTGCTGTAAGGTCTCTGAGTTGCATCAATGATGTCCATTGCCCACTGTGACTGGGGGCTGGCTGGACACTCCATGTCTTGAGGTGAAGCTGACGCACATCCGGGTGGAGCACTTGGCCTTGTTGGGCCATCAGCAGATCGGTCCTGACTTGCGGGACATCTACACTGACCACTTAATCAGAGGTGAAATCAGAATAGAAGCAAGTGGTTTCACTATAGGGATGACTGCGAGCTTTGGAGTCAGTTTAGGCCTGGATGATACTCTCTCGCCTATGGACTGAGAAAGGCGGTATACAAATACAGTAAATAAATACTTACACACACCTTAGAGGCTGGCCTCGAACCGACTCTAGGATCCAAAGAAATGACAGCAATGGAAAATGAAGGGTTTTTTTTTCAACTCCCCTGTTAGAATGTGCATATACAGAGCAGCAGACTGCTTCAGGTACCCACACAGCAATTTGCATTCTGTGAAGCTGATTTTGCCATGTGATGTGGTTTCCACTAGAGTGTGCTGATGGAAATTAAGAGCACTATTTGCGATTATCACCTAATTTTGCTTCTCTCTATTTAAAGGTCTGAAAGCTCTCTGCAGTGTGTTCACATTGTACATTAATTGCTTAGTGTAGATATGCCCTTAGTTTTGTCCACCTAATGTGGCACCCGAGCATTGTGGAATGCTGTGTGTGTATGTGTGTGTGTATGTTGGAGAAGAAGACATCACCATGATTCAAACAACCTCTACTTTTGCTACCCTATTTTGA